AATAATAACTTAATCCCTAACTTGACTCGGTGTGGTCCTACATCAATATCCTCATAAGATACCTTAAACTAGGCCTAGGAATGCCTAGGATGAAATGAGGATGCAAAGATGCACTTGAAAAGCATTTTCAGAATTTTTAGAAAACAGGGTTCACGCTCGAGCGTAGGTTACTCCGCTCGAGCGGACATGCAGACAAAGGTTTTCGCTCGAGCGTACTGCAAAACAGTCAAAAGTGCTGGATGTGTGAAAATCAAGCTCGATTGGGCGCTCGACACCCGCTCGAGCGTAAGACACAAGGTCCCGCTCGAGCGTAATTTACCCCGCTCGAGCGGACTTCAAAACAGTGTAAAGTGCTGGGAACACGAATTTCACGCTCGAGCGCCAGTCACCCCGCTCGAGTGTGAGTTCAAAATTTTGAATTCCCAGATTTGAACCTCAAGCTCAAATTCAACTTCAAATGTAACAAATTCGATTCCTTTGGGCCCATTTCCTGGAAAACACTTGTAAATACATAGTATGACATGATTCAAAGCTCAATATGTAAAATCAAGGCCCAAAGGTGACGGAATTAAACCCAATTTCAAACAATACTTCAAGAACATGATAAATGTGTAACATGCAAGACTTTAAACCACTTTCAAGCTTTAAAAGCTAGCTCAATTGAGCCAATTCTTTCCAAAACATGATGAAATCATGGACTTTAACATAAACATGAACATGCATGCACCAATTGCCATGAAATCAACATCCAAATGCAAGGATATAAACATGCATGCAAAGATTAAGCTTCCATTCAACAATTTAGCACCAATTCTAGACTCCGCCCTCAAATGGACCATGAACCATGCAAGAACAATCTTAAATACATCAATAAAAGGTTGAATTTTCTACCTTGGGTCCCCCAATTACAAGTCTAGAAGCTCAATCAAGTAAGAACTCCTTTAATCGTCTTAATTTCCAAGCAAAACCAAGCAAAACAAAATGAAAACCAACTCTTCTAGGTCCCTCTCTCTCTATAGTCAGTTTATGTCTCTCAAATGGCTGATGAAATGTGTTAAGGCTCACATATGTGAATCAACTAAAGGCTTAAGACTTGGCCCACTAAGTGGTAGTTTGGTAATTAGAGCCAACTATGCAATTTAGCTTATTTTAATCTAATTTAATCATTCCAAATCACATTTCAGATAAATATGCCATAAAATCTTATAAATTCTAATGATCATAAAACATCAATCGATTTCAAATTCGGCCACCGATAAGGCCTTCAATTCGCAATTTAAAACATAAAACATAGACAGATAAGTTTAACAGTCAACAGATAGATATGCATTTAAACTAGCACATTCAATCAGTCAGTTCAGCATTTCAGTCGATTCAATTACTTTTCATAATCAATCTCAGTTTAGCAGTAATCAGTAGGGTTATCAGTAATCAGTGGTGAGGGTTATTACACTATCTAATCCTGGTAGTTCATTATAAGACCATGCAAAACAATCTTTATATTTCTTCCAAACAATCAACAACTGGTCCCTGTCAAGTGCATTTAACCAATCATTTATATAGGTGGGCTGTTGTATAGAACCTTCCCCTAAATTTACTTCTTCCAAGGGGTCTTGTATCTGAGAACTTATTGATGCTCCTTCTTTGATTCCTTCTGACCTCGAAGCAATTTCCTTACTTTGTTCTGTTACCAGTTTCTTTAGTTCGACATCCTTACCCTCCTCCTCATAGACAAAGTCTATCCACAAGGCATCTCCCTCATGTATCTCTTGGACTTTTGTTTCAATATCCAAAGCACAGTATTTATCCAAGGCCAAACATTTGACCTGTTGTTGTTCCTGCTTCCAACCAATTATCATGGCTTCTTTCTCTTGTTCTTGCACTTTCTGGACTATTGATTGTATGTCCAATGCTGAAAACTTAATTAAAGTCGAAGATTTGGCCTCATGGGTTCCATCTCTTCGCCCACAACCAGGCATCATTGTCATCTTTAATGACAAACTCTTTATCAGCACTTTCCTAGACTAAGTGCTTCAGGTGTGCTAATTCCTCATCAGTCGTCACTTTGGCTGTTCCATCAGGTTTTCTCAGTATACTGAGTGGTGCCACTCCTTCAGTATATAATTTGGCCTCTGCGAAATCTGCACAAGCTATGAAAGGTTGAGGATCTGTATTGATCTCCTCCGTCTCTCCATTGCACAAGGCCATCACGATTTTCTGATGTAAAAAGGAAGGCACACATTTGTTGGTGTGAATCCAATCTCTTCCAAGTAAAGCATTATACTTAGCATTGTTGTCGATAACGAAGAATGCCATCATGCAGTCCCTAGTTCCCACACTCAGGTTGATGGGCAAAATACCTTGGGCCATCTGTTTGTCTCCAGCAAAACCAGTAATGGCTGTACTGGTTGGGATTAGTCTTCTTTCCTAGTTTCTTCAACGAAGATTTTGGAAGCAGGTTTACTGCTACCCCGTTATCCACCAGCACCCGATTCATCTATATTACATCGAAGAAGGCCTTGATATACAAGGGTTTGACATCCTGTGTCATGGACGTCGTGGGATACTCAAAGGGGTATGAGAGGTTAATACTTACCTCTTCCTCATTCTCGTCTTCAGTTTCCATTGGTGTGGCTACTTCAGATTCGTCTTACACCATACTTACTTGTGAGTCTTCACTAGAGACTGGATTTGGATCAATCTCCTGACCTTGGTTTTCATCTCCAGCTTGAAACTTCTGTGGTAATATAAGCACCATATTCACTGACATCAGAGGAAATGAGCCAAATTGGATGACTGGTTGTACCTGCTTTCCCTCTTGGTCAACTTGTTCAATTACTTCAGAAGCGTCCTCCATGCTGCATTCTGGCACTTCTGTATTAGTAACTTCCTTCAAATGGTCTGTTTCTGTTGGTTTTTTGACCAAAAATGTCTGTTCAGCCATGAAGGCTTAAAACATTTCTTCCTCAACCATCCCTTTCCTTTGGCCTGGGACGACTTCATCTTCTATCTCACTATTACTTTCCATCAAAGCTTTTTCCAATCCTACCAAGCTGGATCTTGCCTTGGCCTTTAGTTCAAAATGAACTTTGGCCAACTATCTTCACTTATCAATTGGGTTAGGTGTTAATCTTTAAATTGACTAGTCGACTTGAATCTCCTTAAAATTTTATTATTCTTGAGTAATCCTTCGTTAGATGTTCCATCGGTGCGGCAACCTATTCATTCCCATGGAGTTGACCGAGAATTTCCGAATTCAAAGCTACGCCGGCCGAACGCGATTCCAATCAGACTTTCAAGGTCATTCAACAAAGGTACGAGACTCTATGGTTCACACATTAGATTCCTCACTGAATCAATATATTTCTTACATACTAAACAGTTTTCTTATTCTCAATCACCATAGCTCCCCATACCTCGTTGAATCATCAAATTCCTCAATTTTCTCAAATATTCTCGTAGTCTAATTTTACATTCAACTATGCAACTTTCGTAACTTCCATCAAAGATTTCATTAATTCCTTCTAATACCGTGTTCCCACAAACCAATATACTCATATTCATTAATGTGCCAACCAGAAAATTACATTGCCCTCATAACATTAAAATTCCACAACAGCTCTAAACTTCAATACTAAACTTATTGAATAAACACATTCCAGTCTCCCCTAATCATTGAAATATCAAAATAACCTTTAACTCTTATAACACTATCTATATAATAAGGCACAAAGGTTTTTGAAAAATGTATCAAAATATATGTGAGATACATTTTGATCCAATGGCTGAGATCAATTTTAAGAATATATTAACGGTGCAGATCATAATAAAGGACAAAGATTTTTGAAAATGTGAGATATATTCCCGCTCAAATATCTCTCTTCCTCAGCCTTCCGCCTATCCACGTCTCTCTCTCCCTTTCTGTTCTCACCCACGTCTCTCTCCCTCAGCCTTCCACCTACCGACGTCTCTCTCAGCCTTTCCTCTTTATCTCTTTATCCATCTCTATTCTTCTTCTTTCCGTTTCTCCTTCTTTGTCCTTCGCCGCTGCTCATCATCACCATAGCCAGAGAGCGACACAGAAATCGCCATGAAAGCTCTGCTTAATTCAGACTCAACTACCATCTCCCCCATCTCCCCCATCAATCCTCGAAACTTCACTCAACTGAAGATCCAAACCTCTCTTCACTTCTCTCTAAAAGATAACCACCACCACCGTTTGATTCGACGGAAACACAGAAATCGCCATGAAAGTTCTGCTTAACTCGGACTCAACTACCATCTCCCCCATCTCCCCCATCAATCCTCGAAACTTCACTCAACCGAAGATCCAAACCTCTCTTCACTTCTCTCCAAAAGATAACCACCACCACCGTTTGATTCGATGGAAAGCTCGGTTCACTGCGAAATCTGTGATTGATTCGGCCACGATTGATCAACTAGGGATTCCGGAATCCGATTTCTGAAATCCGGCAGTTTCGACTTCGCATCGGAGCTCCAAGTTTCGAAAACCCAATCAAACCATGTTGGAAGCTCAAGCCAAGGTCTACACTGGCCCCACTCAGACTAGGCCTCTCACTGAAGAACAAGCTTTCAAGGTTTTGGACACCATTTTGAGATCAGGTCAATAAATCTCTCTCTCTCTCTCTCTCACATACCTTTTTGTTCAATTTTATTTATCAATTTGTAGTTCAATACACTCCACTTTACTTATATATCTGTCTATATCATTCCAAATGCTTCTGGGGGAATTTGAATGTTTCTTAATTAGCTCATTTTGACAAATTTCAATTGTTTGCCAAATTCACTCTTACTTATGTTGGAGGCTGCATAACTCAATAATAAGGGCATAGTTGAGCTCGGTAATCTTTTGTTTTTGGGATAAGATTGAGAGCTAAGTAATTAATGAATCACTTTCTAAAGAGCTGCCTAATGCCATTAATTTCAGGTTGGCAGTGTGTTTTTGTCTACCCATTTTCCAAAATTTCAAATTCAGTAGACTCCGTGTGGATATAAATGAAAAGGAAACTTTTGAGGTATACAGCAAACCATAATCATTGGTCATAATGCATGTTCAACCTTCAATTGGTCTATGTAATCATAGTTTTATTTAATTGATAGAGGGAGCTTCAAAATCTGGAAGATGAACAAAATAACCGTGTTCGTGGCTTTCGAGAGGTGATCGATTTGATTTCTACTTCTCAGAAACCTGTTGTTGCCCACAACTCACTTAGTGGTCTGTCTCTTGAATGAACAGCTTTCAGTCAATTTAAACTATACTGGCCAACCTATTTCCTTACATTTATTGATTTTCCACTCCTATTTTTTCCTTGGTGCAGATTTTACATTCATTTATTCAAAATTCCTTTCCTCACTACCTTCTAGCATGGATGAGTTCAGGTGTTCTGTGCGTTTGGTTTTCCCCCACATACTTGATGTCAGCCATCTGATGAAGGAAATTGGCCTTATGAAAAAGGTGACCAACTTACCTGCAGCTATTTCGTCTTTAAAAAGACGGTTTTTTGCGCCTATTGATATGAAGATTTCTCACCAAGGCAAGTCACTCTTACATACTTGCCTCTCATGCTCACAGCATGATCTGTTTTAAGTAGTATATTGATTGGAAAATGCCTTCATGATTGGTTCTCTCAGTGACATGGAAAACCAGGGTATTTGCCAATATAGTTTCTGTCATCTTTGGAGAATTGAAATTGCTGCTAATTAATTGTATCTGATGTTTCACGAGGTAAAAAGTAATTTAATGTTCCATTAACTGGCCAAGTTTCAATCTTTCAGATGATGCAAGCGAGAGCAATATCCATGGCCATGATGTTCTGAGGATAAGTGAATTGTTTGCTAAACTGTGCACTATTCTGAAAATTGCCCCTGTTAACTCACGAGGATGAAAATGGCCATTTGCCTTCTGTACTTGAAGACTATACAAACATTTTCAATCCTTGCTCCACAAGTTCCCAAGACCACACTATTGATGAGGATGACTCGGTTTGGACAGACAACAGAAGAAAAGTTGACAGTAAGGATTTGGTTTTCTTGTGGGGATTTAGATGTGGGATGTCTGCTAGAACACTCAAGAAACTTCTCCATGATTCCCGTGATGTGTTCTCTGAAGAATTTGATGTTCGACTGCTGGATAAGAGTTACTTAGATGTATTTAAGGTGTTGGACTGATATGCATTTGTGTTTATAGCATATTATTCTACTTCAATTGTGTCAGGCATTGTTCTAGAAATAACCTTATTTTTCATCCTCTAAATTGTGTAGGTGAGGATGAAGAAGGGGAAGGCATTGTCTTACAATCACGGTATCCGTGGGAAGGAAGTGACCGAGATTATGATTACGAGGAGGTATGTTTTATGTTTTATGTTTACTGTTATGAGAGACAATTTTTATGTTTTTCCAAAAATTCTGCTCAATATGTTTTTCCAATAATATATATGGATGTGAGCATGAATTTAGATGTTATGAGAGACAATTTTTATCATTAGATGAATATCCAATTAAGTTAATTTTTGAATGATATTTGAATGATACACCATGCAACAGATTTGGATGATATAGATATATGGAAAAGAAATTCTACACAGACTTTAACCAATTCTGCAAAGAAATTCAGACAAATCTATAGTATTTATATTCAAACAAATTCTGCACAGACCAATATTTGGATTTTGTATTCGGGTAATTGAAAACATGACTTCAGTGTTCTCTCATTTTTATCTTAATTGAAAACATGACTTTAGTATTCTCTCATTGATTCGGGTAATTGTTCTTCTTCTTGAATTTTTTTTTCCTCTCTCAGCTTTTGCCTTCATCAAAGCTTCTGTGGATCACTCTGACTACTCTCACCGTTGTTCACTCCGGCTGTGACATCACTTTGGCTGCTCGGCTATTCACTTCGGCTGCTCGACATCCTGCTCGGCTGCTCGGTTAGTTTATTCACTTCGGCTGTTTTTTTTCTGCTCGGCTGCTCAATGCTTTGGTAACGTTTGGCTGCTCGACATCACTCTTTTTCCTCTCTCAGCTTTTGTTATTTCTTTTGTTATTACTTTGCTTTGATATTGAGCCAACAGCTGCTCTCAGGTGAATTTTTTTCTTTTGTTATTGAGCCAACTGCTCTGTTTTGTTAAAGAAAATAGTTGCTTTGTTAAAGAAAATATTGCTGCTTTGTTAACAAAGTGACTATACCATGGTTGCTATGGTTTAGACTATATCATGGCTGCTTTGTTAAAGAAAATAGTTGTTTTGTTAAAGAAAAATAGTTGATATTAAGCCAACTGCTTTGTTTTTTATCTCTTTGTTGCTTTGTTAAAAAACTGTTTTTTTCTTTTGTTAAAGAGTAGTTGCAAAGGCTATATTTTTTATCACCAAAATCAGTTGGCTCTGTTTTTTATCACCAAAATCACCAAAAATTCTGCTCAATGTTTTTATTACTGTTTTTTATTCTGTTTTTTATCACCAAAATCACCAAAAATTCTGCTCAATGTTTTTTATTCTGTAATTAAAAATTCTATTTTTTATTACTGTCAACTGTTTAAATTAGTGATGAGAGACAAAAATTCTGCTCAATGTGTTTACTGTTATGAGAGACAATTTTTATGTTTTTACAAAAATTCTGCTCAATATGTTTTTCCAATAATATATATGGATGTGAGCATGAATTTAAATGTTATGAGAGACAATTTTTATCATTAGATGAATATTCAATTAAGTGAATTTGTATCATTTCATGCTTACATTCAATTTTTATCATTTCATGAATATTTATCATTAATTGAATAGTTGGTCCAGATGATGATATGTGAGCATGCATATATATAGTGACTTATTGATGCTTCATATCACTACTACTAATTAATTATTGAAGTGATTAATAAAGCAGGTACATTTCAGGTAATCTAGATGTTTGATAGGTTGGATTTTCATCTTTAGGTATTTTTCAATTCGATTTTCACAGTTCTTATGCTTTGAATTTGTTCTCAAATAGAGGTCTTCACTTGAATTTTGATTTTGATCGTGAAATGTATAGGGAAAGGATGAATCTAATGATCCGCTTTCTAGGTTGGGTTTTGTATTTCTTACTAATGATTTCTTAGTGGTGGTTACCAAAATAAAATATCACTTGGCTGGTTTTGTTTTTGATTAAATAGACAATGGTTGTTTGCCTATGCCATTTTCTGTTCTGATAAGATTGCTAATTGTTTCAGTCTTTTTCCCGGTTCAGAATTGTTGTGTTGATTTCTGCCTCTCTCCTTCATAATTGTTGGCTTGATATTCAAACAGGTTATTTTAGACCAAAAATGACTTAGATAGAATATCAGTTGGCTGGTTCTGTTTTTGATTAAATAAACAATGGTTGTTTGCTTTTGCCATTTTCTGTTATGATAATCTAGATGTTTGATAGATTGGGGTAAATAGTATAATGATTTCTTAATGGTGGTTACCAAAATATAATATCACTTGGCTGGTTCTGTTTTTGATTAAATAGAATGACCATTTTACAGTGTTGCAATGATTCCTGTTGTAATTTTTTTTTTTTAGTTACATTTTTTTCGATTAAAGGCATATAATGATTTCTTAATGGTGGTTACCAAAGTATAATATCACTTGACTGGTTTTGTTTTTTATTAAATAGACAATGGTTGTTTGTTTATTCTATTTTCTATTATGATAATCTAGATGTTTGATAGATTGGGGTAAATAGTATAATGATTTCTTAATGGTGGTTACCAAAATCTAATATCACTTGGCTGTTTCTATTTTTGATTAAACAGAATGACCATTTTAGTGAACATTATAAATCTTATATGTTTGTTTCTTAATTTGCATCAAGGCTGGGAGGAGTTGTTATTTTATTTGAGTTTTGAGTTTTACTTATGGTCATGTATTGTTTAACAAATATTCAAAATGTATTTAAGGTTGGAAGCAAAATGAATCTGAATGGGTGTAGGTGAAGATTGAAGAAGGTGCTGTAGGGTGGTTACATACACAAAACTAATGGGACTAAACTGATATAATAAATGGCTTTGGGCTTTTGGACAAAATAAATGGGGTTTTTTAGGCTGTGTTGATTTGTAAATGATGGGGGAATTAAGTTAGTTAGAGTTTGTTGTTAAATTACCAAGCGAGGAGTTTGCTTTTTGAATTTTATTTAATTAAATTCTTTTTTAAATTTTCCCTCTAACCTTATGTGATCAATTAAAGGAAATTCCAAAAAGAAAAAATTGAAAAAAAATAAAACCCAAAGAAAATATTGATTGATTTGTGTAAATTAATGTTTTTATCAGTCATTAATTTTTATATGTGTTGACAATGTGTTGTGTTTGTTCATAGTGTTTGTATTGGGTAACCAATTATTATTTTGCAACAATGTTTGTGTTTAGTTTGAATTGGGTGGTCTATAAAAAAAATCTTTCATTAGTGTGACAATACATGTGTTTGTTTTGAATTGGGTAGTCTCTTTTAATTATTATATTGGCTTTTTTTTCTGTGTTTTACAGGTGGATGAAGACTAGAAGCGAATGGCAATATTGACTCCCTTTTTACAGGTCTACATTTTTTTAAGCTTAATTTTTTCTTATCTCTTTAATGATTTTGTATTTATTGTTGTGTAAACTAAACGTGCACTTCTTTGATTGATGAGTGTTGGAAGAGTGGCAATCTCGAGAGCAGAATTTACACTATTTTTGGTTTCATCGTTAACAAACTTTGAAAATGATTGACGTTGTATAAAGTTAAAGATTATTTATAGGTTGATGCTGTGTGAACTTATATAGAGTTGGTTTGCTTATTTAGAGGTAGACATTTGGAGGCGTTTGTTATTTAGATTTTGATCAAGAATACCATTTTTGTATTGGCATGGTGTGCTCCAAAGGGAGAACACCATTTTGTTGTTCCTCTTATTTGAAGTTGTGTTTATAATAAAGGGGATCCTCTTGATAAAATATATGTTATCTATTCATTTTTTGTATGTCATGGGAAAACAGAACTTTAGGTATACTTGATTCTCAATGTTCCTAGCTTAAGAGAGAATGATAAATGAAAATTATTCAAACAGAACATTATTTACACCGTGCCTTTAGGCACGGGCATACACTAGTATATATATATGTGAGAGATTTTATCATGTAATTAGTTATATTTGATTAACTTTATTTTTTATATTTATGTTCTATACAATTTATTATATAAAATAAACGATTCAAATTATTGACATGAATAAAAATTAATCCCATAACACACCAACCTTATCTGTGAAGTTGAGATCTCTTCAACCTTAACAAATCCGAACTCTATCTCAACATGATCTCGTGTCACCTACCTTTAAACACATGAGCTCATGTGACTGTGTTACTGAGCCCGTGTTTGGGATGAGTTAATATAATTTAATTTTTTGATTTTTTAATTATTTTAAATTGGCAAATAAAGTTGCGGTTGAGATAAATTTAAAATTTTTTTCTTCGTAATTGATTTGATAATTATGAGAGATAAAATAAAATGATTATAATTTGTATGTGACAACTAAATTAGCATGTTTTGTTTTTATAGACTAACTAGTCAAAATAGCTCAAGCCAAGCGAAGGCTAAAACCATATTTAATTGCAGGTTAAAATTTAAAGATAAGTTATGTTTGAGAAAATAATAAGATCATCAATATTATTAAATTATAAATTTTATAGGTTGTGTTTGAATTATAAATTTGATTAGAAATTTAAAAAGAGAAATAAAACATACAAATAAAATATAAATAAAATATATCTATATATTTCTAATTTTTTTCTTTTGTCTATTTCAAATTTTGATTCAAATCCATAATTCAAGAACAATATTACGTGGGTCACAATGTCATTTTTGTATATGAAATTTTTATTTATATACTATTATTAATCAAAGATATAAATAGCTATCAATTTGTGTATGTATTTAATGAGGGAAATGACAAGCGTTGCACGAAGAAAATTAATGTATTTTGACCAAGAAGAATAAATATGGATGAAGAAAAAAAAGGTGATAAATGTGTAATTTTGAATACGGAAACAAATTTTAGAATGCATTAATTAAACGGAAAATTATTCAATATTTCTGGAGCACCATGTGTCCATACTCCAAATCAATCATCAATTAGTTAGTCCTATGTTGTCCCCCCATTTTCAACATAAATCGTGGGCCATTGTGTCTCTCCACCAATCAAAACCTTGGACTATTTATTGATGTGATTGTAATTTGAAAGAAATGTTTTATTCAACGTTTTTTTGTTTTTTTAGTCTGTCGGACATAAAGTTCGGTCGGATTTCTTATCCTTATATGGGGGATTATACTATCCTAAGGGGGTATGAGATAATTTTTGTTGGACTATTTACTGTTGGGATTAGAATGTGAAATGATCATTTTGACCTTCTACTATTTAATTATGTATTATATTTAATAAAATTCAATAAAATTTAAATGTCTCAATATAAAAATAAAATAATTTTGTTTAACTTTTTATTGATGTTTTTTTAAAATTTTGTTTATATTTTATCTACTTTCATTATTTAAATTTTAATAGATGTTTTATTTAATTTCATTGTTTTGTTATTATTATTTTTAAAAATAAATTTATTTAAAGTTTTAATTAAAAAAACATATATTTTTATTGATAACCAAGTTTATGTTGTCCATATCATTAACACATCTTTTCCCCCAAAACATTTCATATTATAGCTTAATTTACAATGCCCATAACAAGGATCAATCGCTAATTTTTAACATAATTTTTGAACATTTCCAAAATTCAATTAAACTTGTGTATATATAATTCAACCTCTCAATTTCATGATTCTACTTTCAATTTGGGCAGAATCTTTGATTATCATCATGAATCAACCTAGGTTATCAAGAAAATCAAGGATTTCAAGAAAAATCTAAACTTCCCAAACCATTACTTTTTATTCCAATTTTCCCATTGATTACACACCTAAGGTTCATAATCTATCATCTTAACCCAACAATTGCACCCCCAACATTTCAAACTCTAAACCTCCAAATCTCATGTTGGACATTATATGCTCAAAAATATAGATTTTGTATTTATATAGTCAAAATATCACAAATCCATCCATTAATGCAAGTATTGAAAGGGAACTAGGACCCCTACCTCAAGAATCAAGCAAAAGAACGAAGCTCCAAGAAGAATTCTTCGCCAATCCGAAATCCGAAATCCAATCAGTTGAAAAGTGAGTTCTTCAAGCCTTCTTCACTTTTTGGTGGAAGATCTTAATCAATTCAAAAGGAAATGGAAGGCATTTGAGGTCAAAGACCTAGGTTTTTCGGACCTAGGTGAGAAGGATGAAAAGAGGAGATGAAAAGTGTGAAGAATGATCTAGAAAAGTCCCTTTAAACTTGCTGAATTCGCGCGGTCCGCTCGAGCGTCGATTTTCCCGCTCGAGCGTACCTGCTTTCAGCATAGATTCCAAAACTTCAAACATGTATAACACTCTCATCCGGACTCCGTTTTAGGTCGTTCTTGTGTCTAAATCGAAGCCCCGGAAATAAGGTTTCCAATGGCTCTAGCCTCACATCCAAATTCAAAGTGTGGAAAAAGAAAAGGGCAAAAGAGTGACGGGTGCTCGTAAGAAAAATTATCCGAATTAAATTCTTGGTTCACTCTTACTTTACCATTCTGCTGCCACTTCGATCAATACCCCAAAATAAAATAAGGAGGTTCCAAATACACTAATAAAAATGTCAAGGGCAATCTCACTTTCCACGCTCGAGCGTCGTTTTCCACGCTCGAGCGCGCAGACCAACAAAGCTGTCCGCTCGAGCGACCACTCCTACGCTCGAGCGGGAATTCACAACTCTCAGAATTCCAAAACATCTGCAAAAATGCTAGGAACCTCTCAAGTCCGCTTGAGCGTCAACTTCCCCGCTCGAGCGGAGGGAAAAGTTTCGGATCGTTACAATTTGGTTCTTTTATTTTCGGGTGCTTAAGCAATACCCAATTATTTGGAGCCACCAAAGGAGGTTTGACCATCCTACCTTGGTATCCAACAACATTTCTTTGGGTAGAAATCTTCCTAGGTTTGTTCTACATGACAAACTAATCTGGAACTCCAGGTACCCACGAACCTACTAACCCAGCTGTTGAACTGTTTATTTCTTCCTTCAAAGCCATCTTCGAAACCGGCTATGAAGGCCACTGCTTGGCCCTGACTCCCTGTTTCGGGCTTAACTCAAGCCTTTGATGAAGGTGGCCACTTTTCGTTCTGTGTGAGGCTGGTCTAGGAGGCCAATCTCTGGCTTTGATCTCATAAACTGAACCCTTCTCTGATCTCCTGTCAGGATAATCGCTCTTCATTTTGTAATAATTTGGTGGTCTGGACTCATATAAAGGCCTCTTGCCTTTAGAATGCATTCTAGCAGCTGTTGGCTCAGCCATTAATGGTTGCTGTCTAATACTAGTTGGATATAGCCTTTTGTTATAAGTACTAGTTGGTTTAGGACGCCTCTGCACATCCTTGTAATATTGCTTCCCATCAATTGGAAGCCCTTTCAACCACTTGTAGCTCAGCTTGCATTTGGGACACATTCTTTGCATGACAGCTACTTTTAAAGAATCGTCATCCAGTGCTTCTTCATCAGAGTCTTCCCTCTGGTCTGAGAAACCTTGTCCAATAACTGGTAGATGTCCAGTGTCTTTCTTGACAGTTGTCTGGCTGGCAACATGCATCTGCACATTGACTTCTTCCAATTCTTTCAAGGACGAGTTCTGGAAGTCTGGCATAATAACATTGGCTTCCACCTCTCCAATTTTTGAGAATGGATTAGTATCAATCCCCATGGCCTTTTTAGCTTTAGCTGGAAATTTTAAACTCCCTTTTCGAATCTACTCTTGGATCTTGTCTCGAAAAATAATGCAATTTTTAGTTGAGTGAGACCAAGAATTATGCCATTTACAATACATTTTTCCTTTAAGTTCCTCTGGAGACGGAATTTTGACTCCTTTTGGTAACTTCTGGAAATTTGCAACAAGCAAACGATCAAAAATGTCATCTGCGTTTGTTAAGTCGAAAGAGTATTTCCTTTGAAGGTCTTTCTTTTTAAACTGCTGATCAATTGTTGTATCTTTATGAATTAATGCCTCACAGATCACAGGTTCTTTCCCCACAATCTCTGCTACATCAATCTCATAATTAGGATCTCTATAATATGTCTTGTACAGATGCATTACTTCGATCTTGTTCTTCTTCTAGTAATGCTCATACCTAGACACCTTATAGGTTAATTCCACTAAGTCTCTAAACTCAGTTGAGTCAAACTTCTTTCGAAGCTAAACTCTAAACCATTTTGAGCAATCTCACAGATTCAAGCTCTGGTAAGATGATCTACATTTGTTTCGTGCTCTTTTAAATCTGACAATAAATTGAGCAGCCTTTTCATCAGGCCTTTGGCTTAACCTTGCCAAATCTGCTATGGACACTTTTGGCTCCTTTTGGAAGAATTGGGCATGAAATGCCTCTTCCATTTGTTGCCAAGTTTGGATAGAACCAGGTGTAAGGTTAATATACCATACAAATACTCTCCCAGTTAGAGAATTTGGGAATAATCTTAACTTCATATAGTCTTTATTGGTAAATTCACCGCACTGAGCCGCGAACCTAGCAATATGCTCAACCGTTGACTGGTTTCTATTCCCATAAAAAAGGACAAAATCTGGTATCCTGAAACCCCTTGGGTATTCATGTACCCTATCTACTCATTCTGGGT